AACAACCTCACTGCTGAGATTTCCAAGTTGTATTTAGGACAGATTTAAAAATTTGGATTGAATGAGTGAACATGGAAAAAAATCCTTCTTCATACTTTTTCAAGGTTTTGCCACAGTATGGATTATTTAAGAAAGACAAATCACTATCCACCCAGGGAAATGCTGTCTGTCCTGTGATTATCTCAACGGTGAAGCCTTTCAACATAACCCAGTGCATTCGAATAAACAAGTGTTACATGTTAGTGGCTAGTAGAAGGCAGGACCAGCAGAGTATTGACAGGAATTTTGTCCACCCTAGTGAACTGTTTGAGCACTTTTTAGGAGAGTAAGATGTTTGAAGACCTTTTTCTCCTGTCACTATGAGCTCAATTTTCAACATTGGTCTTACAATTAACAGTTCCAATTCACTTAAATAACTCTCCTGTGTAATTCAACAGAGACCACTCATAGTTTCACATGGTTCACCCAGGACCCAGCCATCTAGTTCTGTTACACAGAGGAACGCTTGCCTCTGCCTCTTATTTTCTGCTTGTTCTCTAATTATATGACTTCAAATGCTCCATAGGTAGAAACTGTTGTGAATTTGGGGATGGAAAAATAAATTTAACCTATTTCAATATGTTAGAATTGCCAGGTAGAATTGCCTCTGCATATGATAAATTAAGCTTTTTGTACACGCATTTTGTTATTTTGGGAGAGTCACACTTTTTCCAGGTTGGCCTTGAACTCCTGATCTCCCTGCATCCACTTCCAAGGGCTGAGATGCAAGAATACGCTCCTATACTCACTCAGCTAAAGATTTAGTTATATCTGCCAGCAATCTAAATGCAGTTAATTCTCTTTTAAAATCTGTCCTAGAAATAAAATAGTTATGAATGAGCATGTCAATAATGGAATCCATAATAATATAAAAACAATAGCAATATTAATATTTAAAAAAATCTATTATACCAGTTTTATCACATTAAAAAGGAATTCTAACCAAAAACGGAAAGCACAAGAACATTTCATTAATTCCATTTATATGAAGCTCAGAAGCTTGCAAAAGTTACCTACGGCAGAAATCAAAATAACATTTGCCTATACAAACCGATAGTGGTAAAGTACAGGAATCGATTTTCTTGGGTGACATTCCCAGTGAATCTTCTTTGAAATGTGTCTTACACGACTGTATTCCATAGATAGTTGTCAAAGTTCATTGAGCTAAACACATGAAAATCCACTTTAGGCAAATTTTCATCAATTGCAAATGAAACATTTGCAGGACATACACATCGACAGCTTATTGTCTCATTGGTCTCAGCTCTGACATCATCGTGGGATTTGGAGCCTTGGAATGTGGGAACTAGACCTGCAAAGGCACATTTCTGTTTTGCTGGGTATCTCTGTGTCTGGCTCTGCCAAAGCAGGAAGGAAGAGCGGAGGGAGAGAGAGAATAAGGCTGAAGAGGGATTATGCCTTGCCTTTTCCTATTTCATCTTGATAGCTATCATTCTGTGGGATGTGATTCCAGTCCTGTTTTTTCCCACCTGGTAGCAGTTCTGATCCACAGCATCAGCTTAATCCAAATTCATTGTGCAGGTTTTGTTAGCACTACAGACAAAAGGACAATTCACATCACAAGGTACAGCAACTGGACAATGTTGAAGACTGGGATGCCTTACTGGATCTGTGCATATGCAGTTGGACCATGGACCTGTTCTTTCTGAAACTTCACAGGTTGATGGAAGATGGAAGACTTTTCTGGGATGTTGGAATGAAAAATCTTTGACACTAACCACTTCAGACATAAAGATGATCAACACTTTTCATACCTGAAGCTTTCAGAAAGTTGGCTGACCTCACATGCAGTTCACCTTTATTTCTCCGCTCCTACTGGCAAATGACTGGCATATTTCTCTGTAGGGAAATAGAACAGTTGAAGAGAAATGGACGTAGCTATGACAACTTGTGGTAGTAGCCCAAACAGATGGACTTTTATTCAATTATTCTTCCATGAGACTCATTAATTAGTAAGCTTTTTAAAAATGCATGCCAGCCTTATAGTTTGCATTTTAAAATAATATTTTAAAGCAGATAGAGAAATAAGGCTCATCACATAATTTTGGTCATCCCAGGCAAGAGGAGAAGGAAAAGAAACAGCATGCTACAAACTGAAATTATTACTAACAAAATGAATAAAATAAAAGAAACAGAAGAAAAGTTACAAGAAAAGGTAAATGTATAATATAACTTATAAGTGGCACAGAACAGCAGATGGAGATAAGGTAGGAGGTATGTGTGTGTGTGTGTGTGTGTGTGTGTGTGTGTGTGTGTAAACACATACTACAAAAGGAAAGAATCAGAGACTCAAAGAATGAATTAGAGATCTAGGAAAGCAGGCTGGTGGCAAGATGGTTCAAAGCAAAGGTACTTGCTTCCAAGCCAAAAGGTCTGAGTGCAATCCCTGAGATTTAAATGGTAGAAGAACTCCTACAAGTTGTCCTCTGATGTTCACAATGGTACTACGTCATATGTGCAGTTACACACAAGGCTGAATAAACAAATGTGATAAAAATATCATCAAAAATATGAATAGAAATGAAAATTTACAGGGTTGGAGAGATGACTCAGTGCTTAAGAGCACTTGCTGCTCTTCCAGAGGTCCTGGATTTCATTTCCAGCACCCATATGTGTTGTGGAATATTAGTTTAAGATGTCTAACATTTGTTTATGCTGTGGAATACTTGTTTAATGATACGAAGATGTATTGTATTCTTTTATGTCACATTTGTTTAACTCTATAAAGCTGTGTTACTTTGCCTGTCTAAAATACCTGAAAGGTCTAATAAAGTATTGAATGGCCAATGTCCAGGCAGGAGAAATGGGTGGTGCTGCCAGGCAGAGAGGATAAACAGGGTGAGAAATCTACACTTGGTAGATGAACAAGGAGCAAGAAGAGTAGAACGAGAAGAGGACACCGGGGGCCAGGCAGCCAATCACACAGCCAGGCGTGGAGTAAGCATAAAAGTAAGATATACAGAAAAAAGTTAAAAAGCCTAGAAGAAAAACATATTAAAGAAAAAAGGGATAATTTAAGTTAGAAAACTTGGCTAGAAACAATCCAAGCTAAGTTCAGGCATTCACAAGTAAGACTATGTCTCTGTGTATTTATTTGAGATCTGGGTGGTGGGTGTCCAAAGAGGAAGGAGAGGAGGAGGAGAAGGAAGAGGAGGAGGAGGAAGAGGAAGAAGATGAAGGAGAAGAAGAAGGAGGAGAAGAAGGGAAGGAAGGAAGGAAGAAAGGAAGGAAGGAACGAAAGGAAGAAAGAGAGAAAGCAAACAAGTACACATATGTTTGCTCACAACCACTGTAACTCCAGTTCCAAGAGAATCCATCACCGTTTTTGGCTTCCTCCAGTACTTCATGCAAGCAATACACAGATGTACCTGCTGGCAAAACACCCATAAACATAAAAATCAAAAATCTCTTTAAAATTGAAAAATTTCCTTAAAGAAAAAGAAGAGGATAATATACAGGAAAGATATGAAAACTAAAGACTATAAATAATATTCCAGTTTTTAAAGAAAAGCTGTAAAGAGAAAATAGTAGTGAAAACAAAAACTCAAAGATAATAAGGTCCTCCCTGTGTTGTCAACTATAGTTTATCTACCAGAATTGATCAGTTGTTAAATTTTCCTTTATGTAACAAACACACTTATTTTTGTAGAGTAATAATTTCTGGCTTATTTTGCTTTAATTAATTTTAAAAGACTACATGTCAACTTACATGTCATTCTTAAATTCAATTAAACATTCAACAATAAACAAAAATCCTTACATATAAAATAAAAATAACTCTGTATGTCAGTTTCATGTTTCCAAAATCTAAACTCAAAATTAAGAACTTGAGAGCTTATATTAACTTATACAATTAAAGATAAACTTACTTAAATATACAACCATTACGCTACACTTATTTTGAATCTTCAACTTAATCAGGATTGTAACACAATAGGGGCTAAGGTGGAAATTGCCGCCAGAGACCTCATATGCGTCTACACTGTATGTTATAACGTTATTTTCAATGGGTGGGTGCAGCTATGCCTACATGTACCAAGAAATAACTTAAGATTTCTCCAAATTAATTTCCTTGAAAAGCATTATAATAGACCAAGTTGAAAGTCACATATGCTATTAAACTCAACAGACATCTTGTCAAGAAGTTCAAACTGTGGCTAGAGAAATGATTCAAGGGTTAAAAGCACGCTCCCTGCATTTACTGAAAACTTAGGTTCATTTCTCAGTGTCACCGTTAACTTCAGTTCCAGGGGATCCACCGTCCTCTGCTGGCCTCCTTGGGTACTGCACACCCGTACGGCCCAGGCACACACACACAATCACAGATACACATAAAATAAAATTAATCTTAAAGATAAAAAGCACTCAAAACGACGAAGATGATCATAAGAACCTGAACAGTAACAGAGTTAGAGAAAGGTGTGCTGGCACGCTGTAAAGAAATCAAAGCATCTTTTAGCAAACATTACATTAAGCCTAGATTATGCCGCCCCCGGCCACGAGAACACACACACACACACACACTTGCACACACACACACACACACACACACACTTGCACACACACACACCCCTCGTGGTTTCTGATGCCATCGGTGCTAGTCCAAAACAGCAAACGCCGAATTCCGTAAGGAACGCATGTTTCCAGTTGGATACCAGGCCGAGAAGCATCACGAAGTCCGTCCTTCGCCATCCCGCTCCATCCCCGATGGATTGGTGACACCAACCTCTCTCCTCCCCGCGCAGCCCTGCCACGTTGACCCCGTGTGCATCAGTTACTCGGCAGCCATCCCTGCTATTGCATCAGCTGGAGGAGAGCACTGGAGGAGCGCTGACTTTCAAGATGGGCCTGTCTGGAAGCCTGGCGACGGTCGCCATGCCGACATCACTCACTGCAGTAGCGGGCCAGCAGCACCACCGCAGGGGAGCAGACCCCGCCGCCACGCCACGGGGGAGGCTCTGAGACGGGGTTCGGGCATGGCAGCGGCACCACCTGCCATCCCAGCCCCCTCGGGAGGCTGAGGCAGGGGGACTGCCAGTTCCAGGCCAGGGCCGGCGGCACAGAAACTTCCAGGCCTGCCTGAGCTGCCGAGAGCCTGTGCCTCCCTCGACCCAAGGGACTTCCGGCTTCCTCCCTCCTGCAAGATGGCGACGCCCGAGGAGGAGGACGAGGACGAGGAGCTGCTGCTGCAGGAGCCCAGGCTCCCGGACCTGCTGGAAACGGGCAGGCAGCTTCTGGAGGAGGTGGAGGCCTCCACCCTACCCTCGGGCTCCAGGCTCATCCAGAATAAGGTGACGAGGGCCCTGGACCTCCTGGAGAAGGCCTCGGACATGCTCTCCCAGCTCGACCTCTTCAGCCGCAACGAAGACTGGGAGGAGGTGGCTTCCGCCGACCTCAAGTACCTGATGCTCCCGGCCCTGAGGGGCGCGCTCACCCTGAAGCTGGTGGGCGCCAGCCGTCGCCTGGACCACCTGCGGGAGGCTCGAGACCACTTCATGAGCTTCCTGACCCAGAGCCACAACTACCATGTGGCCGACTTCCAGCTGCCCTGGGACCAGAGCAGCTCCCTGGAAGGCCACGCCGACACCTCCACCGCCCCGGCTGCCCTCCTGGAACCCAGCCTGGTTGCCATGGCGTCCCAGAGGCAGGCCAAGATCCAGAGGTACAAGCAGACCAAGGCGGTGGAGCAGAAGCTGTCGGCCCTGAAGTCGGCGGTGGAGGGCGGCCAGGCCGACGACGAGCGCGTGCGGGAGTTTTACCTCCTTCAGCTCCGCAGGTGGGTTAACATCGGCCTGGACGAGATCGAGAGCATCGACCAGGAGCTCGAGATCCTGAGGCGAAGGGACTCCCTCAGCGAGGCCTCCTCCGCCGCCGCTGCCTCGCCCTTGGCTCACCAGGAGAGGCCCCCGATGAAGCCCTTCGTCCTCGCTCGCAATGTCGCCCAGGCGCAGGTCTTTGGGGCTGGGTACCCGAGTCTGGCGACCATGACGGTGAACGACTGGTATGAGCAGCACCAGAAATGTGAGGTTTTGCCGTCGGGTCAGCAAGTCGAAAAGCAGGCACTGCTACCCGAGTCCCGCAGAGCGTTTCAGCCAGAAGAGCCGGAGCCGGGGCAAAAGGAAGAGGAGGAGGAAGAGGAGGAGGAGGACGCCCTCCACAGGCTGCAGCAGTGGGATGACTGGAAGGACACCCATCCTAGGGGCTATGGCAACCGACAGAACATGGGCTAACCGCCCCTCGCCGAGAAAGGACACTGGATCGCTCACCTCCCCAAGCAAGGATGACCCTGCTGTCTTTACCTTCTTTGGGTCCCTGCTCCAGATGTGTGCAGCAAAGGCAAACATACTGAAGCTTGCTTCGCATTCAATAAAGTACCACTATCAAGTTTTATTTGCACCCTAGTTAATGTCCGGTGCTCTCGTTTTGGGCAGTATTCTCGCCATGGTGTATTGCAGTTTCTTAAGTGGATAGTTAAGAGTGCTGGGAAATGGCTTTGCAATCACTGATTGTATGATTTCTCTTAAAAAAATAATAAAATGCCCTTTTCTTGGAAAAAAGATATATCTATATATCAAGAGAGAACATTCATGTAAGTTTCATTATAGTGTTTTGAAGTATTGTTAATGTCTAGGCCTGACATAAATTAAGCCACTGTAGATATGCGTATTTTGGGAAATAGACAGTGTATGTAAGATTGGCTCATACCTTGAGTGCAGCTGTTTTAGAACAGCAAGTTGAGAAACCCATTGGAGGGTGTTAAAAATGACCTGATGAATATGGGGGGTTTGTGGGTTCTAAATAGATTGTAAGTTGCATGAACTTACAGAATAGTCACCTTCTTTAATTGTGGAATGTCTAGAAGCTTCTCAACAAAGAGTTTATATGAATGTGGCAGCTTGATTATTATTTTACTGAGATTTAAATATGGCTTTATTTTTATCTTACATTTACATTAGCTTCCCAAAGAGAGTGGAAACTTAACAATATTTATCAAATATAAAAATTTGGTTAATTGACTCAGCATTTTCACATATATGTAGAATGAGGATTTACACAAACTTATATGAAAAAGTTATGATGTGTTCCTTGTAAAATCTAAAAGCTAGAAACTATGTTTCCAGCTGGAGACGTGGATAAACTATCTTTTTGTAGTCCTACAATAGATTGTTAGTAAACTGTGAGACTAAAATCATTTGGATTTCATGTGAGGTAATTTAGGAATATTTACCAATATATGTTAATACATAAGAACAATAACATGAAAAAATAAATTAGAATGAAATCATCTTAATTGTGCAAAGGGAGAAAACCATAAGAAATGTGGTATGATATATATGAATCTTCTGTTACTATTCACTCTGAGTCATCAATTACACATATGTTTATTTTAAGTTAAAATATTCATTAAGTTTATTGATGATGGTTACTAATAATTTCTGGCAAATGATTAGCAACAGGGTCCTCAAGAAAATAAAATACCAACAGACAAAAAACAGAGCAAAACAAAAATCAAACTTGATTTGAAATGTCTGCCAATATTTGAGGCATTAAGATTCCCACTATATTGATGTCACCTTAACAAATTGTCACTAAATTCAGAGGCAGAAAACCACATCCATGCTTCGGGTTTTCTGGTCATGATGAGCCAGCTGCAGCACATTGCTGAGGCTAGGGAAAGCTCAGGAGCTGGTGTGACTGAAGCTATGTGAACCTCTACTATCAAGCTGTCTTTTACACCGCTTCTAGACTCCCATACTGAGGATACAGGAGCCACTGAGCAACGTGGAGCTTCTGTGTAGTGTAATTTCCCTGTGAAGTTGGGTGAGCAGAGCTGCTAAGTTTAGCTTTCACACTAAACAAAGATCAGGCAATTTACATGATTTTCCTTTGCCCCTGTTGGGCTCTTAGATGTGTTTGCATGTAGAGTAAAGAAAATATTAGATATAACAAGAATGAGCTATCAAACTGATATTTCCTGACCTTTTGAAATGGAAAACACATCTTAAATTAACAACATGCATGGGATAAACGCAATGAGTTCTGCCCTTTGACTTTGAACTGTTTGCTTTCTAGATATGTGTGTGTGACCATCCACTTCCTGACAGACGCTCTAATGCTAGGTCGTTCAGAATCCCCACAGTAAATGCCTGACTAAATAACAAGGGAGGAGAAATGATCTTTCCCCCTAAGTGATTGCTGATCCAAGCTGCCGTTTCTTCATTTACTCAATGCGGTGTCATCTGCCTACTATCACATCTGGGCAAAGGTCATGCAGCAGTGGTGTTTATCTATGTCTATGTTTATTCACAGCTGGAAATAGCCAGAAGGTGTAGTTATAATGGGGAATAAAAGAAAATTCAGAAAAAACATAAAGAAGATGAGTATGAATTTCTGTTAACAGCATAGAAATCTTACCCATCATGATGAGGCCAAGAAAAAGCCAAAACAAAGTGAATTTATTAAAGCCAGAAGCATTTTTCATGAAAAATAATGTGTCCTAGAAAATAGGTAGTTCAATAATAAGATCAGAAGAGAAAATAATTACAGAAGTATAAAACATATAGCATATGACCTTAAAGTACATATGTTGCAGGCCAACCTTGAAACATTTTTTAGAGATACTGAATTGTAGAAATACTGATTTCTAAAAGACATTGGTGAATTTCCAAATGTAGGTGTTTTATTTTAATTATGAAACTGAATATGTGAATCTTGAAAAACATTTTCCCTACACGTTTAGTAAAAATATATCTACAATTCCTATTTTTAAAATTAACAATCAGATAAAAATTTAATCTGATTAATATTAACCATCAACATTTCTGTACAATGTTTGCTGATACTTTTTATGTTCTATACATTATTTTTAAGTTATGAAGGAAATAACTTTAAAATCAAACAGAACACATTATGCCAATGCGAGTAAATCAATGCCAGTAAATATTAATTCACTAGTAAACATCTGGGGGATTGAAGAATCCTTTGTCTGTCTTCCTTTATTTTTTTTGTTATGAGACACAGTATATTTTGTGAAAAATACTAATACTAACACAGAAACATAAAAGGTTGATGTAGAATACATATCAGAAAAAATTCAAAAATAAGAGACAGCCCCTTACAAGTATAACAATTAGTTTTCTCTGCACATTCAAGTTTGTTGCAACACAACTGAAATAAAGTTGTAGTATATTACATGTGTCCTGTGTAACTATGTTTTAGGTCCTTCTTATCAATGAAGAGGACCAACAACCTCTGGTGTGATAACTGTAAATAATGTCACAACAGTGTCCTAAATTATCAATGGTGTCCTGGAAAACTTATGTACATAGACATCTGTGCTACAGCATGTCCTCTAAAAACTTAAAAGCACTGTAGGATTTCCTGTTAGACGAAGCCTTTCAGAACCAACACTGAGTGAAACGTCAGGCTCTGACCTCTAAAACCAAAGATGAGAAAGAAGAGGAGTGTGTGTTGCATAACCAAACCAAGTTTTGCCTTGCCATATTCAGAAATATCCAACTTGCTTCAGACTCTCCCCAGCCAATATATTCCCAACCAAACACTGTTCATCTGAGGCTCCTATGCGAACTGCACTGGAAACACCATAAGATGCCTTATAAATGTGCTCAAATAGTCAGAGTTCTTTAATATCTCTGAAATTTTAATGTGTATAAATTACAAGGAATTTATAAACATTGTGATGTTATTAACTATAATATTTGGGAAAGATTATTCTATAATTACACTTAAATTGATGGAACATATATATCCACAGGCTCCAGCCAAAATGGAAAAGAATCATGACTAGAATGTACATATTAATTGCCATGATTACAATGATATCTGAAGACTTGAGCAGGCAGATAAAGCAGAAACCTGCTTAATAAACACAGTGAGTGTCAGGCTTGATGTAAGAATGACCATAACGAAAAGTTTTAGCCACTGCACTGTGTTGTTCATGTATTCATACTAAAGTATAATTGTCAGTTTTGTTTCCAGATGCCAGAGAAAGCGGCTGCATCTTTGCGATATTTACAATTTGTGTTATTTATTGAGACAGATCCAATTCCTTTTTTATTTGTTTTCCCAAAGCACCCATTTTTTTCCTTTTGCTGACCAGTGCAAAAATCACCCTCACTAATGTTTATAAAATACCACATTATTGTTAGGTATCGAATCCAAATGCAAGCACTGCAGTTCTAACAGATAGGAGCTTGGTGGAGTCTGTCTTTAGATTGCTGCTGTCTCTACCACCTAAGCATAGGTGCTGCAAAACTGAGTAGCATTAAAGGATGAAGAGAGGACAGACTGTGTGTGTGTGTGTGTGTGTGTGTGTGTGTGTGTGTGTGTGTGTGTGTACATGTACGCTTTGGAAAAAGAGGTAAATGGATAACATTAGGTAAGAAATAGTATCTACTTTAAAGGATTCTAAAACTTCTATACAAAAATATGGAAACATCTCTTTTTCCCCCAATGGCTATTTATTAATATAAAGACAAATATGCTACACTCAGAAATGGATTGAATTAATATATGCTATTATGCACATGTGTGTTAGAGGCCAAAGGACAATCTTAGGTTCTGTTCCTTACCCTCCCTATCGTTTGAAACCAGGGTCTATCACTGGCAAGAAGATTACCGAATAGGCTAGGCTGAGTGACTAGATTAGAGCAGAGATCAACCTGTCTCTACCACTGGTGTGCACTGCCTTGCCTGGCTTCTTTGGGTCGATTCTGCGGACTGATCTCAGGAGTCATCTAAGTCATCTCTCAAGTTTTGAATTTTTAAAGATACTTAAAAGTCACTTATTATTGAATTTCTGAATGCTTTTGGATGATACTCTTATAATAAGAACTATCAACTACAAAAATAAAAATATGTCACTATGTAGCTCCTAACTAAATGATATAAGTGTCATTTCTAGATGATTAAGGGCACCTCTGTCTTTTTTTCTTTTCCTTCACTATTCTGAAACTCCTCCTTCCGCTTCAACACTGAGAACCAATTTCAGGACAGTGCATTCTTGCTAGGCAGGAGTATTTCCACAGATTCTAAACAGTTCCAGATACCCTTTACCTGGATATATAGAAAAGCGGGAACTCTGCATTTTTAACATGTTTGCCTCTTCCTGTTTTACTTGTAAAGTCACAAGGTGTCACTGTGTTGCCTAAGCTGATCCCAGAATCCTAACAGGTCCTAGTGACCTCAAAGCTAAAATCATAGGGCCTGTCATGCCTCCACCTTTAACAAGAGAAGCATGCTAAGAGAAACATCCAACTGCCAATTATCTATACATTATGTTAAATATTATATTAACATCTCCACTCATATGAGCCTCTTTGATCCTCCCAATAACTGTGTGATATGGTAGTTACTATTTAGGAAGTT